GTATTTACTACAACAATTAAGGCTTAACTAGAACAAGACTGTGCACGACGACTCAGGGGGGTGCACCAAGAAAGCATAAAAGATGCGGAGCCAAAAAAACATGACATAAATGGGGGATATAGAGCTAAAAATCACAATTTTGAGGGTTTGCAATAAACTTGAGCAGAGCCTCACGAAAACTAATGAGACCCTCGATGCTACGATAAAGAAATTAGAAAGTAAGCATACACGGACTGAAATAAAGAATATTATACCCAATAGCAGACCAGAGGAGCACAAGAATCAAGCCAAAGATTTGAAAGCAAAAAACACCCAACTGGAAAAGCAAAATGAAAAAAGAATCCGAAAGTGTGAAGATAGTGTAAGGAGCCTCTGGGACAGCTTCAAGCGGACTAATATCAGAATAATAGGAGTGCCAGAAGATGAGAGACAGCAAGATATTGAAAACCTATTTGAAGAAATAATGGCAGAAAACTTCCCCCACCTGGTGAAAGAAATGGACTTACAGGTCCAAGAAGCGCAGAGAACCCCAAACAAAAGGAATCCAAAGAGGACCACACCAAGACACATCATCATTAAAATGCCAAGAGCAAAAGACAAAGAGAGAATCTTAAAAGCAGCAAGAGAAAGAGACTCAATTACCTACAAGGGAATACCCATACGACTGTCAGCTGATTTCTCAACAGAAACTTTGCAGGCCAGAAGGGAATGGCAAGAAATATTCAAAGTGCTGAATACCAAGAACCTACAACCAAGATTACTTTATCCAGCAAAGCTATCATTCAGAATTGAAGGTCAGATAAAGAGCTTCACAGATAAGGAAAAGCTAAAGGAGTTCATCACCACTAAACCAGTATTATACGAAATGCTGAAAGGTATTCTTTAAGAAGAGGAAGAAGAAAAAGGTAAAGATACAAATTGTGAACAACAAACATGCATCTATCAACAAGTGAATCTAAAAATCAAGTGAATAAATAATCTGATGTACAGAATGAACTGGTGATTATAATGAATCAGGGACATAGAAAGGGAATGGACAGACTATTCTTGGGGGGGAAAGGGGAATGGGAGATGCGGGAAGAGACTGGACAAAAATCGTGCACCTATGGATGAGGACAGTGGGTGGGGAGTGAGGGCGGAGGGTGGGGCGAGAACTGGAAGGAGGGGAGTTATGGGGGGGGGGAAGAGGAACAAATGTAATCTGAACAATAAAGATTTAATTTAAAAAAAAAAGAGAGAAACATGGTAATTGGCGTACGACCGCTACCCTTCCCATTGGATAATCAGCATATCCTTATGCAAATTAACTGTCAGCCAAGATGGCGGCCGGCAGCCAGGCAGCTGGAAGCGAACATGAGGCTTGCTTGCTCCAGTGACTGCAGACTCCAACGTTCCCCGCCTGACTTGCTGGCCTCTGAGTTGCAACTCTAAGAAACTATGTTGCAAATATAGAAGCTAAACAAAAGCCCAGAAACCAGCTTTCAGTCAGCGGGGATCTCAGAGCTGAAGTTATACATTGTTTCGATTATAGAACGGCAAACAAACCAGATACGAAGCCTCAGAGCTAGAGCCAGAGCTAAAGCTGGCCCAGAATAAAATTTAAAAAAGAGAAAAAAAAGGAGTGGTTGGGAGCTTCAGTCAACAATCGCCAGCCTGAAAGCAGCCCTCAGCCCCTCACCCAGACTGGCCAGGCACCCCAGTGGGAACCCCCACCCTGATCCAGGACACCTTCAGGGCAAACCAGCCCGCCCCCAGGCCTCTATCCTATATAGTAAAAGGGTAATATGCCTCCCAGCACTGGGATCAGCGGAGCCACGAGCCTCTTGGCACCGGGATCAGCATGACAGGGGCAGCGC